TATTGTATAATACTGTATAAGTAGTATTGTGCAATTAACTCGAACCATTGTGTATTTAACTTGAATCACTGCATATTTAACTTGAATGTTGCTACAACAGGCTCCATTCTTAACTATGGGTCGTCCTTAACCCAGGGACTACCTGTATATTAAACATTCCTTTTTGAGGGGGTCAACAATGGAAAGAAAGCTGAGGTAGATAAAAGAGACTCTCTCTCCCTTCCCCATATTTATCTTGAAGTTTTTTTAAGGTGTTTGTTGCTTCAAAATCACAAATTTTATCTTTGCTGCCGTTCAAATACCCTGCTGAAGCAGAATACTGGAGAGCTCTCTTCATCAGCTCTTCCTTGATTTCAATTCTTGTTTCGTCTTTAATGATAACGGTAGCCGTTTTGAAAGGAAATGTGTTGGAATTTGGTGCTCCTCCAGCCAGAGAAATTAATGATGGGGGAGATTGCTGCATCAATTCAGCTAGAGTAAAAGAATACACAAAAACAAAACTTAGATCACATATGACATGATTAGTGCTACTAGAGAGACTACTATGAGATAGCAACAAAAAACTAGCTCTTGCTGTCCTCTAGAGGTCATCCAGATTTTTGCAGCCCAGATCTGGTAGCCTTAGGCAATACTGAAGTTAGGCCTTCCTTAACTTAGTACATAGCATTATATGATATTTAAACCTCATATTTCCCAGTCACCAAAAGTTATGCTTTCTGGGAAATAACAGTATCACACAACATGGAATCCTAGTTTAGGATAGGCTAATACAATGCCTACTATGTGGACACTTTTCTCTAGCTGCCTAGTTTCCTGCCCTTTCTAATATTATTTATTTACTCACCTATTTATTTAACTAGGAGGCTGATATTGTGCAAAGTGCCATCTTCCATGTCATATTTCCAGAAATACCAAATTTCTGTGCTCCATATGAAACAGGGATTGGTACAGAAAACTCCAAGAACAAGATTGGTTTGGGGGACTCAGAGCTCACATAATTGTTTTCTATGTCATTTTTGAGAATTGTTATTTTTCTTTCCCCCCATCAATTTGTCTTCTGGATAACTGGCCACAGACACTGTGGCATCTTTTCTCCTGAATGGGCAGCTTTCTCATGTCAGCTATTTTGTCGAAATACTCACAACAGTTTACAAATCCCAGATGCTCCCACCTCCACATATCATTTCTTCTTAATAACCATGTCTATGACAAACCCATAACTATAACCTGAGGAAAGTCTGAGGAACCAATTGTAAGGTATATGCTTACTGAGGACTCTTATTGGAGATGCTTTTCTTGCTGCACTCACTGCAGTAATGAATCGTGAATAATTCATGCTTAATGCACCAAGTAGCAAAGTAAATCCTTAAAATAAACTGGATATAGCTAAAACCAAGAGAAACAGAGAAACATAATCATATAAAATATATTCTTTAAAACACTATTATCTGAAACAAGCATATAAAAAATCATACTATTCAAAAGATAATGGGTCCCACCTATCACTCATTACTTAAATTCTATTTGTTCAAAATATTTTCAACAGGAAATATTCCTATTAGGGATATAATTTTGGAAAACTATTACCAAATATTCAATGTCAGGAGTAATACATACAGCATAAAATATTAAAACTAATGATAATTTTCATGCTGTTTGTCACAGAGTTGAAAACCTTATAGTTACATTACCATCATTTTTGGTACACCATTGGGCTCTTCTTAAGGGTACCTAGGACTTTCTAGGACTACCAAACAAAATACATTGTCTAACTATTCTGATTTTTTTAAACAGTTAATCTGGGTAGTTAAAAATCCTCTGAAGTAGTATGGTGTTTACCCATACTTCCAAAACTGGACTTATATAACACTGGTAAGAAATTGTGAAAAAGACAATAAAATAATAAATGGAATGTATAAGTGTATAGATTGCAAAATGTGTCACAACATAATCAGAATGGATACAGTATATAAAAGTGCCCTATAAAGTATTTTAAATTGATTTTTCTATTCCTTGGTTCCCTGTTCCTTAAATACATTAAAAAAAACAACACCACCATGTCATCTCCTGAAATATTTTACTTAACTTTTGAAAAGAGCTTTTGGAAAATTAAAGTATAATCTGCTGAGTTACTATACAAAACAGGAGTACATAACTGGAGATCCCAGAATCCCATGCAAAACCTCAAATTCTTACATCAGGCCCCTGAACTCCCTCCCAAAGTTGCCATGACTTTAATTTTTAATGTGACAGAAAGGCATATATGAGGAGGAATAATATTAGGGGCATTAATTTTAACATAGAATAAATTAAGGGTTTGTCCTACACTTCCTTCTTCTGGTCCTGCCCACTTTTTGCCACTCAGAAGTGTCATCCCTGGCCAAAAAAATACTATGCATCCCTGACATAAAGATATATAAGCACAAGTGCACATACATTTCTTGAGAGAATTAAAAGGCTGGAAAAGTATATAGATACAGAGTAGCACTTCGTACTAAATTTGTAGATTTAATAATTGTCAACAATTGTACAGGTCCTTCCTCAACATTCTTCTTTGTATTTAATACTGTTTTATATACGGAAGTGGGAGAGGGGAAATAACTTATTATTCATTATACAATTTATTTATTACTTATTTGCCAGCAGGAAAAAAAAATCTTCTAAGAGGAAAAATTTCCCAGCTGCAACAGAGGGCAATGTTTTTTTCTCCCTCCCTCCCT